GGCGTTTTGAGGGGCCCCGCGCTTGAGGGGCCCGTCCGGGGGCCCTGAGTGTCTTGCCCCTCCGCCTGCCCCGCCGACCATAAGCAATCCTGCGCGGGGGCCGTCACGCGGGCAGGGGTGGGGCTGGGAATCGGCGCACCTCGTGGTGGGGCAGAGCTGGAGTAGCTCCTTGTAGCGCGCCCGCTGCCACCCGACGCCGAGAGCGCGCAGCACCATCAGCACACACGCCAGCCCGCAGTCCCTGCGCGCGTCCGGGGGGTCGCGTCCACATGGCCGCGCGAGTCAGAGGGCGTGGCGGCGGCCGCCGGCGCAGGCGCGGGCGCGGGGGCAGGGACGGCTGGGGGGCAGGGCACGCATGCGCATGTGCGTGGGCATGCGAAGGCGACTGCCGGCGCCGCCGCCGTCTGCGCGCACCATGAGAAGCGCTGGGGGATGTGGGGGACCTCGCATCGGTATAATGCAGGGGGAGAGGGGTCTGATGGGCTTGCGTCCGGCGCCTCGTGCGCGCCGCCCGCCCCTGGGCCGGCGCCGCGCTGGTGGCTGGCGCTGCTGGCGCCGCCGCCGCCCTGCCCGTTCGCAATCAGGGGGGTTGGGGCCGCGAGCGCGGAGCAGCGGGCGGCGTCGTGCAGCGGGTCGCCATCGACGCCCGCCGGTGCCGATGCGTTGCACGCCGCAGCACTGGCGCGCGAGTCTGGTGGCATCGACGCGCCCCGTCGCCGGACGCAGCGGGCACCACCCGCCCGCTCGTCCTCGAGCACTTCTTCTGCGGGAGCAGCATCAGCAGGGCGATCCTGGTACTCGGCCGGGCCAGGGCTCCATCCTCAAACCCTCTCCTTATCACGCTGGATGTATATGAATGCAGAGCCCAATGTCTTTCAGGCAGTCAGTCACAATACGCGCGCCAGGAGAGCACACTTGCAGCTCGGTATCCTTGTTGTTCGCTGCTGGTGCTGACCTGCCTCACCTGCCCTGCGCGCAATCCCAGCTTCGGATGTGTTCACACGTCAGGTATTCAATGGTTCGTCAAGGGGGCTCGTCGAGCACGCAAGGCCTTATGCAGTAGGACGCATCCTGTGCTGTGTGTGGTGAGTGCTCGATCCAGACACGAACAACTGCCTGGTCAGCTGCACCAATCACATTGTGTGACATACGGCTGCAGCGGGCTTCTGTAGCATATGGCTGCAGCGGAGACATTATGCCTCATCAGCAGTGAGGCAGACACTCGTGCCGTTGTTCGCTTCACAGGTGTGCCACGCCGTGTTGTGCGATGTCAAGGAATGCGCGTGTCAAGCTCTTCAAGCAACAGGCCGGCTTTGTCATCAAAAACGAGTCAGCCAAACGTTTGACTGAGCTCGCTGCGGATTTAGCCGTAGAGAACGACATATGCGATAAAGCATTGTTTGATAAAGGTCTTCAAAAAGTGGTGATCAAGTGGCGTGGCTGCTGCTGGTCTCGCACCGCTGCGGAACACCTGTCCGTCCCGCCTCTCCCCGCCTGCGCCGACCATGGCGGCGCACACGCACCACAGCCAGCAACTGCAGCCGGGCAGCCCCGGCGCCCGCAGCGATGCCAGCACACCCTCCAGGCGCCTGATGAGCGGGGTGCTGTCGCTGTCGCCGTTCAAGCGCGCGACCAGCGGCTCGCCGTTTGGCAGCGACGGCGGCGGCGGTGGCAGCCCTGGCCACACGTTCCAGCAGCAGCAAAGGTCGCTGATCCCCAGCTACGCTCACAGGGACCAAAAGCGCGAGATCATACGGCAGCAGGAGGAGCAGCTGGGTTCGCTGAAACTTCAGGCGCAGCATCAGGGGGCCGAGATCGGCAGGTGGGGTGCCTTGCCCGCCGCCGGCGGCTGGCCTGCAGTCTTTCCGCAGCACGCGCTCTCGCCAAGCTCATGTACAATTTTGCTAGAAACTTATGGACGCGCCTCCATGGGCCAGATGGAGGCAAAAGCAAGCACGAATGTCACTTTTCTGCGCTGGTGTCCATCACCACTGGCCGGGCGCGTCCGCACCCTCAACCCAGCAGCCCCCGACATCTGCACCCCCAAGCAGCACTCCACGCTGCGCCCCGCGCGCGCCACCGCCCCGCCCCGCCCTACCTGCCCGCTCGCCGCCTGCAGGCTGCAATTTGAGCTGGCCGGAGAGCGCCAGGCGCGCACCGCGCTGCAGGAGCGCCTCAATATGCAGTACTTCAAATCCAGGTGGCTCGCAGTCAGGCATCTGTGGGGCCAGCCTGTGCTCCAGGGGGCGCACGCGTGCTGCGACCCCACAAAACACCTATGCACTCGCCTCCGTTGTACAAAGTCCACATTACACCGCATCTGTTGCAATACAACTCCGCAAAGCACTCAAAAGTTGGCCCTGTTGTAATATCTGTCAGTCCATCCGTGACTGTTGAAGTTGCATGCCCGACCCAAACATGCGCATATCAGCACACCCGTTTGTTGATGCATCCTTGCGCTCGCCCGCTTCGCAACCCCTTCGACGCCCTCGCGGCCGCAGCCTGTTGGTGGACATTCTGGTGGCGCAGCTCCTTGAAGGCGGCCAGCAGAAGCAGCGGCAGGAAGACAACAGCGGCGGCAGCGGGCAGGACGGCGACAAGTGACGGCTCGGAGGCACCTGTGCTGGCGCACACCTGCGGCTTTGAGGGGTGCCGTTCCGCCGCGCTTGGCCAAGCAAGCGATTGCTTGCGTGTAATCAGCACGTATGCGCACCCAACGGCCTGGGCCCCTTCTTTGATGGTGCAGTGTGAGATGGCAGGCCTTGCTGCCTTGCCAGCTGGCGCTGTCATCTCCATGCAGACAACATTGCAACAAAATACAGTATGATGTGGTGGTTACATGACAAGCAGCGCCTGGTTGGTGCTGATTCAGCACATGCGGAGGATGACTCATCGCACACGCCGGGTGGCAGGTGCTTGTGCGTCGATGACGCCCCGCCGGCAAGGGCGAACCGAGGAGGCTCTGCCGAGCTGCTCGCGATGCGTCAGCGCGTGCGCGGCCCACGCCGCGGGGCAGGCAGAGGGGCAACTCTGCTGAAGCTCTCTGCAGGCCCCGGCGCCAACCACCCAGCCGCCTCCCGCGTTCGCGCAGCAGCGCGGCGGGCCCCCACGACCGAACAGGGCGTGTGGTTGCCCCCGCGCCGCGGGATGCACGCATGCGGTCACAGCGGCCCCTGGCCCGCAAAGCAAGCTGTGCTGCATTCAAGTAAGCCAGCAGCCAGGCGCGCGCGCCGGGGGAACTGTGCTGGACCCCTCGGTGCGTGCGGGACCGGCTGGCGCCGCTCTGATTTGACACCAAACACGCCTCCAACGACGGTAGGCACTGCAGCGTCCAAGGACGAGGGAGGTGGCCGCGCCCGGCAGGCTCCCGAATGCGGCGGCCTCGAGCGGGCGGAAGCTGCTCGGCAGCCAGCCGCGTGCGCCTGTGGAAGGGAACTCTGCTGAACCCCTCTCGACGCGCGCAGAGGCGCCAGCGACGGCAAAGGCCGCACTAACGGCCGCCAAAGCCCGGCGGCAGCCGCGGCGCGGCGCCCGCGCCCGCCCCCGCGTCGCCGCGCGCGCCGCGCTGCAGCTGCTGCAGCAGCGCGGCGCCCGCGTCGAGGCCGCCGGGCGCGTTGGCC